TCTCCGGCTGCTTGGTGGGGCGGTGCCCCAACGCCTCCTAGTGGGCGAACCGCGCCTCGCGTAGGGCCCTGCCACGTGTACGCTGTTGGGGGGCGATTCGCAGGCGAGTTTGCAGTCGCGGGATGTTTGGCACGATACCCCGTCTCGCCGTACGATTGTTTTTGCTGACGCTGCTGCGTTGGCAGTGGGTTGGTTGCACAGTCACATTTAACAAACAAAAAAGGAACTCAACACATTCATCCGATATAACACGGTAGCCTTAAATCTGCAATTTATAAACGGCGGCACACACGTGTACGTGCTGGGAAGAAGGGCTCTTGCCTGAAATGTCGCCGGTTATATTTATTTAAGACCACAGTGTTATTGACGAATGTGCGGAGTGATTTTGTTACACTGTACGGGTTTTTTTTGGATGAATATTTCATACCTGTCAGCCCCTTATCAGTGCTGCCAGCTTATTACAGACCAATTCAGACCTGATTGGTCACCCCGTGCCCCTTATAAATCTCAACGTGCATCCTACAGTCCCATTTCAAGGGAGAAACACAGACACTCTTTTGCCCGTATTGAAACGGCTGTACATCGTATGATATTAATGTCTATCGACTGTGAGAGGTGGAATTTCTGGTTATTCGTGACGAGAATATTTCGGGCCCTCTCTCAGGCCCTCATCTCCTAGGTCCTGCAGAGGGCTTGGGGTACCTTTAGGCTTCAAATGTAACTCATGAAGCCGAAGCTAAGATACTTGTATGCAATCGTAAAATGTAAACTACTGTAATTAAGCTGTGAACAATGACATTCAGGATTTTTTTGGTATTTCAAAAGCTACCTACTAATTTTACACAATCACGTTATCCGTGTTTTTTCCATCTTTGTTCGGATGCGAAGCCTTCTGAGCTAGAATCTTGATGGCTTCGCTTTATTCAGTGCGCGTGTGTGCCACGCGTAATATTGGGCATGACCTAAACATGGCGGAAAGCCAATTAGTAAGGTTTGTCATGTTAAAAAAAAACATGCCAATTAGTTACTAGTACAGCACACTGGTTGTGTGTTGGAGAGTAAACCCACATTCCAATTTTCGGGAAGATTCCAATTTTCTGCAGCGTTCGTCCTCGGCTCTTGTGGGTGGGTGACTCCAAAAGAGGGATGAATTGGACAATTGTTTTTGTGTCACCGAGAATGGAAATATGTTTACAGCTGGAGCCAGAGGAATAGGAGAGATAGCCTCTTCTTGTCGTGAGGTCCACTTTGCAATAAGAGCTTCGATTACGTGATTGTGCATCGTTCGGATGATGTAACGTTTTCAATTGCGAGTGTTTCATCGCTTTAATCAAACTTCCGAGGGTGCGTAATGCAGGAGTCAACCTTCAGTTTAAGCAAGTGAGCGGGAAATCCGGAATGGGGTTGAGCTGGTTGATGAATTCATTATGCACTGTACCTGAGCCTTTGCAGACTCTTTCATCACCAGGAAAACGGCTCATCATCATTGAATTGATCAAATCAACAGCAATGATGGCATGGATTTGCAAGTAATGTAGCATCCAAAATAGGTTTTATGAGTTATATCGCTTAAATATGAATGTGTCTTGACTTAAAGCTTTCGTGACAGCAGGAATTAATATTAAAGCTTTCGTGACTGCAGGAATTCATATTCTTGGGTCTTTCAGTAAAGTCACGTAGATATCTACGTACATACATATGCCATACATATATAGACACAGACACAATATATAGACAGACACAATTTTAACCGAGAAGATGGGTACAAACTGAGCAATCATTGGAAGGACGTTACCAACCAGTTTAATTCGTAATTGGCTATGATGTTCCCATCCTACCACCTTCCATGTTAGTTGTGCTTTACACCCATTTCAAACTTGCGCTTTCACAGGGTTCACATTAGCACAGTCACTTCGTGCGCCGACCCCTTGGTTGCAGCTCTGCGAGCTTCCATTAACACGCTAATCTCTCTTTAACACGCTAATCTCTCTTTAACATACCAATTTTCACTCGGCAGCCTTTTGATTGGTAGAAAACGAACCACCATCGGGTTGGCTGCCCACCACTTACATTATCATTTGCTGCTGACATTTGGGCTACGCCCATTTCAAACCCTTATAAACAGTTTACCTTGGAAGCTAACCCCCTTTTCCTGAAGACGACCGCTTGCGTTATGATCGAAACGTCGTAGTCTTTTGTTATGTTATTTTCTTTGAACCTATCTATATGACTTTCCCGAAAGACCCAAGAATATAAATGCGTCGTTAAACCCGCAACCACCGGACACAGCCAATTAGTAAGGTTGGTCACGTAAACACAACATAATGTAGCACCACTGACGTTATCCTTCAGGCCATAAAAGACAAAACCAGAGAGATTGCTAAGGTTATCAGATGGAAGTAGGTGAATGCCACTGGTTTTGAAGTGTAAAAGCTGCCCGATTTTATCTGTGCGAGCACGTAAAGTCTTAAGAGGTCGGAGAATTATATATTCGAAGATTGCTGTAAAATTTCGATTTAAAGCTTTCGTGACTGCAAGGATTCATCTTCTTTGGTTCTTTCGGTAAAGTCACGTAGAATGAGAATAAAATAATAAATTGATGAAGGCTGCTTGTGTTGTGGCCGAAACGTCGTGAGAATTTTATTGTGTTATTTTATTTTATCAATTTATTATTTTATTCTCATTCTAATTGCCGTAAAACTCCGAAATCCCCATTAAAATTCCAAGATTTCCAGAAAAGTCTGAGATTGCCGTTCATGTCAAGTTTTCGTAAATTGTTCATCAAACTGAAAGCGTACTGCGGGTGGTCCTTATGTTTACGATGTTACAATGCGTCCCTGGAAACCCCCGTCGTAAATCAGATCGCCATTTTTCGGACGTTATGTTACAAAAATTTTCCACAAAAATGCTACAAATATGGGATTTAGTTAAATGTTCATATAAAGAATGAACCATTGCTAGTGCTATAAGATGTTGGAAAACAGTCCCTTGGTGCTATAAATGGATAGGTTAAGAGTCCTAAGTTTACAGTGCAGTACTGAACGTGACATTATTACTGAAAGTGACACAAATAAAAGTTAGTTTCTAAAATATGTATGTTTTAAACTTGTCTTCTTCCTTGCTGTGCTTACATGAATTTAACCTTTTGAGATTAAAAAAACTCACTTTCTACTACGTTGCAAAGTAGAAGCATTGTTGTTCACGTATTCAGTCACGTGGGAAGATGCGTCATCGGCGAGGTGTCTGTGTCGTAATTCGATCAATGGTGGCCTTATACTGCACGCGTGTCGTATTACATCCGGTAAATCGTATGTAACAAAAATCCAAAGTAACAAACTCACACTTGCTCCATTATACTATGATGCCGTCCTAACAGAGCAGCCTACATCATTGACATGCTGCACCCATGTCCCCTCGAGATCCCTAAGATCTGGGGATGCAGATCTCTGCATTCCCAGGTGGAGGTTTCGGTCTATGGGTGACCGAGATTTCCCTCATGTAGCCCCCAGGCTATGGAACGCTCTTCCACGAGATGTCAGGATCTCTGAGTCTGTGGACATTTCTAAAATGCGTCTTAAAACCTACTTATACGCGTCCACTTACTCAACTTTTCGTTTTAATAAACGGATTATAGCATTTTTTATTTAAAGCTTTCGTGACTGCAGGGATTCATATTATTGGTTCTTTCGGTAAAGTCACGTAGAAGGGAAACAATAAAATAATATTTTATATTTTTATTATTTTATTGTTTCCCTTCTACATGACTTTACCAAAAGAACCAAGAATATGGATTATAGCATATTATGCCGAGTTTCTCCTTCTGCTGTGTCCTGTGCAGTGCTTTTAAATCCTTGATGATAATCCGCGATATAAATGTGATTAGTATTACTGGTCACGTCAGGCCGCTTGGAGATATTCATCGCTGACTCCGTGATCATTCCCCACAGCCTAACACGTGGCATGTGGCGGTGAAAGCAATAAATCGTGAAAAATCGCGAATAGGAGTTACTCAGTATATGTGTAGTGACGTTAAGGGTGTCACTACGGTGTTAGCGCCAGGCACTGTCATAAGAGTGCTGCTGTGCGTCTCGAACCTCTCTCTGGGGCCAGTGAGTGCGGCATGCGAACAGGCGCTAGGGGGCATAGCCCCGGTGACGGCCTGAGAGAGGGCAAGTCAGGACATGGTAGTCTGGGTGAACCCGAGAGGGCATGTGACCGGGACAGGGTAGTGAGGGGGGCTCCGAGGGGGGCTTGAGGGACACGTGATGCTCGGTCGAGATCCTTCGGGAAAGGTCTCGAAGAGGGCGTGGCCGAAGGCGGAGCGAGGCCACGCCCAGGAGCATCAAGGGGCGGTCCCGAGAGCGTTCTGGGCTGTTCTCTGGAATCAACCCTCGGCGCTACATCTCTTCGCTCGTCGGTCTTCGCTCGGCATCGTGGGTCAGTCACAATGTTACTGACTGACCCGGTTATGTAGTTACCCTGTTAAAGTAGTGTTGTTGTTACCCTGTTGGGGTCTACTTAGCATGTGTACGTTTATGTAGTTAGCCCTGTTGGGGCTGTGTAATAAACGTGTGTGCCTCCGTGTTCAATACTACATATGTAGCCCACACCTCCAATTATTCACGTCGCAGGTAAATTGGACGCCGTGCTGCAATTTTACTTTGGGAAAATGTGCGCTTGACGGCAATGGTGAAGATTTGGACCCCGCGGTTAACTGGTGTTTTCCCCGGACTCTAATGCTACCGCGGATAACAAGTCACGGGTAACAGGGTAACGGTTTTAAAAAGTAGTCTAGTTAATTAGTGTCTATTGCATGTGGTTGTAAGGTCTTCATGTTTTTTTTAACAGCAAACAGTGGATGCATTTGGGATTCTGAATGTCCGTTTGTCTTGACGGCGAGTAAGGTACAGACCCTGCTGCCCACCGCTTCAAGGCACGGACAGTTTTCACTCACGCGCGCGCACGCACGCTGGAGAGGAAAAATCAAAAATGCTCACCAGTGGAAGGAACACAGACACGAATACATCATTTTATTTACAGCATGTGTAGGGGTTAAAAATAACATAAACATTTTTGCTTACAGTAGAAGTGGGTGTTGTTGTTGTTTTGTTGTTAGCAATTGAGAGATACGAACCGGCTAAGTGAATGAGCAACCATTTGACCAAAGAGCACGATTAGGCGCTCCGCGGCAAGCCCCAGTGATGCGAGAGCCATCACTCGCGAAACGACAGCCAGCCTTTGGCAATTTTAAAATGGGCTCATTCTTAAACGCTGCGATCGCTTTGTTTTTAAAAGTTTTACCTTCGTTTCAAAAATACACATCTTAAAAAAAACCCCCACCGTGTTGTTTAGAAGACCAGAGATTGTTTTAAGACTGGAGGAAAAATAGTTACACTTTGAGCTATATTTTGTTAAAAACTACGATTTGAATCGAAACATTTTAGCCACCGATCTTCAAGACCTTTCCATTCTCACGTCATTGACCTTTGTGAGAGGGTTACCATGTGCGCCTTCTTCAAACAAGGGTTCAATTTAATCAAACGCAAAGTCATCCGCAAAAATCATCCCCAAGTTTTAAAAATCTCCGCATTGGGGAGAGAGAGAAAATCATGCATGAAAGAGGTCACAACGCAAAGAGTGTGAAACAGCCAAGAATGAGAGGGCAACGCCACAGCACCAGGAAAGCCGGGAGGGAGGGGGGGTCATTGCACAGTGTGTAGAGGGGAGACGAGGAGGATGTGGTGGAGGGCGCTCCAACACACGCGCAGCATGCATTCATTTCGGAGACACAAAACCATCGGGGAAACCGCTTCAACCAACTCGGAAACACAACGGTCAGGAACGGCGCAGCACAGCAAAGTTATATTATTTGGAATATTAACTTTGTTTCGTTTAATATTACATCCCTGAATACCACACAGTCTCAACAAAAAGAAAAACGTAACAAACAACGTGGAAACAAGTGACTAAGTGAGCAAGATTCTCATAGTGCAGGCCCGTGACAATGAATTAACGACATTACGCGCCTTGGTAAGATAGCTCCGGTTCTAACGTTGAGAAGAAGTCATTGCGATCGGGATTTCAAATTCTAGAAAACCACAGCCTGCAGAGCTGCAATTAAAAGGTCACGATGGAGTGTGTAATATATCGTAAATGTCTAAATCGTAAGGTTTTTTCCCCTTCCGTTTTATGAAAAAGAAATCTACACAGATTCATCACTCACATATACAACCAGGACACTCACAATTCACCGTCTACAGACAAAATGAAAACGGGTTGCATTACGTCATTGAATAACTCCCCTACCGCGCTAAAAGCATTCCCTTCCCGAGGGGGAGAGCCCACGACTACCCAGGTATTGAGCACGCACATGCAGCAGCAGCAACGACAAGAAAATAAAATGCCCTCCTGCGCCAAGCGGTTATTATCGATGTTTGATGAAACCAGTGTCGTAGCAAGAGAGAAACAAATATGAGTCTTTTCGCAAGTTACGGAAAAATCTCTTACACTTCAAAAATGTTCCCTTTCACTCAAACAAAAAGACCCCGCAGCGAACGTCTTTCTAGACTCGTAATAACCACGCGTTAAATAGACCACCGTTTCATCTGTACGTTTGGCTAGCATATACGCCGTTTTTTATATCTACAATATTTGACAGGAGTCAACAACAGCAGGCCAATATCATATTGGTGCACAGCTTATTAAAACACTCCAGGACCAGCAGAGGTTCACGCAGGGTTAGCCCGATACTGGAACACCCCCGCAAAATAAATAGTTAATGCTCCGTAATGCTTCCGAGGGGCTTGTTGCAGCCCAACCGGGCTCTGGAGCTCACACCGTCGCTTCCTTAGGGGTGTTCAGAATGAAATACCCTTCCCCTGGCGCTCCCCTGAGCTTACGCCAGATATTGCAGCAGTATTTTTTTTTCTTAATCATCAGAATGGCTTTTCATGGCCGCCACCTAAAACCATGTGAGCTTAGAGCAGCAACGCGCACACAATATCTACAAATCCCTTGTAAACAAAACTGCATTTATCATTTTGGAAACAAATATATCCATACGAGTATAAGCCGATGGCAGGAACGTCTCACAATCCATTAAATATTGAGGCCACCCCCCCCCCCCCCCTTGAAATTAAAACGCTTAAGATGACGATTCTGCCGTTGTCCACGGTTGTTCGAGAGGCATGCATGCACACATTGAACGTGGGTGCCCGTTTCCAGCGGTGATCGCGCTCGACTCGAACCGGCCGGCGTGAATGAACAAGCAGGCCCGACGAGTAACGAAGGAGTATTTTTTTTATAGCGGTTTGACTTGCACGCTCACTTGTCCACACAAACGGCTTTGGGGCACACACATACCTTGGCACGCACCGAAACACGCACACGCGTGCACGCGCACACAGAAAAACGACTCCCTCATTTAGCTCGATTGAGCTGTCGGGGCAGGTGCTGTTAGCGAGCACCTTTATGGCCAGCACACCGCACATCGTGCGGTATTGGGGCCAATAAGTCACTCGTCAGGGCTGCACACGCGTTCGCTCTGGGCTCAATCGACCTCACGAATCCCTAAACCATCGGGTACCCGGTACGGCGCTCGCCACTGGAATGGCCGAAGATTGACCGTCACGCCTGACTGGCGTGACGCCACCTCGCACCACACAACGGGGACTCGCGTGGCCATGGACTGGGACTCAAGTGCACACGCAGACGCAAGATACACTTGGACGCACGCGGAACCGTGCGTACGCGGGTGACGCGTGCCGACGCCGCAATACCGTTTACTCTATGAGCAAAAGTCACGCCTTAAACACCCAGCAGCACAACATCTCGGATGCATTGTAAGGGAAGCATGCAAAATAGTGGCGGTATGTGTGCGGAAAACCTCACTCTTGTTATATAGTGTCACGCGAAACCTGAACAAATCTATCAAATTAAAGTTTTCGTCAAATAACGACGTGCGTCAAGCTATCACCGGTCACGCGCCCTTCACGGATGACGTTAAAAGCTAAAGTGCGACACAAAAAGCGCGTAAATTTCAAAACAAGCGGTGGTCGCAGTGCGGGGTGACCGGCGTGGGCGAGGTTGCGCGGGGCAGCGAGCGACGCCGCGGGGGGGGGGGGGTCTGCACACACGCCGATTGCGGACAGCACCGTCTGGGGGGGGGGGGGGGGGGAACCTCAAGTGAAGAACCGAAAAATGGGGGACGGAGATATTCTCCTACAAGGAGGTCTCGAAGCTGAGCAGCGGGCTGCCAGGCCGGCTGTGAGCCACGGGCGGCTTGTACACTCCCAGGTAGGAGCTCGAGAGAGGGGGCTGCGGCGGCGGGCGTGCGCCCGAGTGGCGGTCGTAGTTGGCGTTGTTGTTGCGGTTGGGGGAGTGCGCCGCGAGGCTGTCCGCGCTGCCATGCTGACGCCGCTTGGTCGGGGCGTCGTCCTCTTCCGCGTCCGTGTCGTCGATCAGGGGGATGCGCGGCTCGGAGCCGTTTCCGGCGCCGTTGCCAAAGTCGGGGTGCGTCATGAAGTTGTGGATTGAGGAGCGGGCTTCTGGCTTTTCGAGCTTCTCGTACAGCGAGCTACGGAATGCTTTCACCACACGGATCTGCGGCATGCGCGATGGGGGTGTGGGGGGGTGGTGGAGGAGACAGAATGGCGACAGGGGGGAGGGTGGGAATTGAGGAGAGGGCGAGAAAGAGAGGGATTGCTCGGAATGGGTGAGAGTGGGGCAGCAGGAGACGCGGAGGGGTTTGGGTGGCACGACGAGGCTCCGAGAGGGGCGAGGCAGGGGAAGGGCGAAGGGTGGTGAGCCGAAGAGAGATGAAACACGGGAACCAAGAGTGGAGAGGGAGACCAAAGCATAGTGAATTAAAATAAATGGATGAAAGTTGAGTTGTACAGGAGATAAAGACAGAGAGAGAGCACATAGAGAGGATACATTAGTAAATAAACACTCATACTCTATACCTATGTCAGTTATTATTATAAACAAAATGAAACCAGTTAAGGTCACCTCGAGGTATAAAGCAGCATCAGGCGTGTACTCATTCTACAGGTTCATTCCAACCATATTGCCATACAGACTACAACCGGAATGATGGGAGAAAACCAAAATTATATTTTTCTTTTAACCATACGTCACCCTGCTGGTCAGTGCAGGTTGGCTATGGCAGGGAGCATAGACGTGGGAGCAAAGCAGTACGATACATTTTGCTGCGCTGCGCACTATTGCTCACCACATCGCCCCAAACCCTAGCCACTCTGGGCAATTGGTCAATATGTAGCACGTATGTAGCTACATGCTGTTAAATATTTTCACCAGCACAATTTCCAGCAATGCCGAGTATGATTCACAATGCTTTACTCTTTTACGCAGCTACAGGCCACACGGCTGCTGCTACACACTTAGTGCTGCTCCATCCGCTACGATGCACTGTTGGACACGGGGCACATCCGCTTGCAGGCACGGGGCAAGCCAACCGCTTTCCTCGAGCACAATTGAGAGCGGTACTCCCAGAAGCAAATGGTTCACCATGCGGCCCGGCCTGCCGTCACGTCCGCGACAAAGTTAGTGCCCTGTCCACGGCCGCGGTCGTCGTGTGGCACAACGAGCGAGCTACCACTGGAGGCGACGACTTCTGACGCGGATATCCGATGATGGTATTGAAACGCATGTTGGGAATGGTTAGATTAAATTCACAATGTCATCTCTCCACGGTGACGTTCATTTTGTGTGTGTGGGCTCACTCTCCGATTAAACAAAAATGTACCACATCGTCTCAGATATACATAACATTTAAACGCAATCAACCACTTTGTGGGGAAGTCAAGAGTGGTTGGCCCTATGGATAGGCCTCCTGCCATGAGACCGTGGAATTTCCACCGCTGGCCCAGGGCTGCAAACGGGAGATTAGCAACTGCCTCAATGCTCATTTGAGCGGGAAATCACTTTGAGTTTGATGCCGGAATATTGCCAAAGAGGACATTGGTCAGGGGGCTCTGAATAGCCGGATTCCACCATGATGACCGGACTTAACAATCATTGCACGTACAATAATGTACGTACAACAACGCACCCCTGTTCAAGAATTCGTGGCATTTAATGCAACCAAACTGCAACATGCATAGGTCAACTGTTAAAAAAAATGAAAAATGGAAATGTAGACACATGCAAATGTAAGCAGCCTCTGCAAGTGTGATTGCAATCAAGGAACCATCTGGAGACAAGAATGGCATTGGATAAACGTGAGTTGTACGGCGCATACCATCGCGTTTGGTAATAACGGTTCACGGGGCAGTGCTTCGACGCGTACATTTCTTGACTGCGTACGTGAACGGCGGTTGAAGGAATAAGACGCGTTCAATTACATTATTCAACCGGGCACCTTTCAACATGCAATGGGGATTTGCGTCGTACAAAGTCCTTGGCCTGTTTGGTTTTCGCGTTTCGATAGCGGTACGGGGCATTTTGAATGCGCAACAGCAAGAGCCGCCGATTACCGCTCACTGCACCGCAAGATCAGCGCAATGTTGATGATTGCGTTGTGGTGCCAGCGGGCAGCGCCGAGCGCCACGGCGGTGCCAGCGGGCAGCGCCGGGCGCCACCCTGCCCCTCTACGACGCAGCTGCATTGCGACTCCCTACCGCACCCTGCAGGCGTGCGGCGACTCACCCCGCAAGTCGATTGATGAGCAAGATCATTTGGGCGCAGTGATTCTCAACTTTTATTGGTGACTGTAACCCATTATTGAATTTTGTTTCAACCGAGTACCCCCTTGCCTGACCAAACATGGTTCTGAGAAATAAATGTATGAATAATGAACATCAATATTCTTACCAATTGTCCAATTTTGTGAGGTATCCTAACTAGCGAGTAACTGCCAGCGAATAAAAACATTCAACGGACGCTCTGCATGCGTCACGTCATTTGTTTGCGCTCGCTGCTTTTATAAACCGCATTGTTTACAATGAGTTTATAAAGGTACTTTATATCGTTCTAGATTACAATATGGATACAAATTTTACCGTAGTTATTTTATATTGTCAGATTCGTACGTGATTATTCACCAATTACCCTTATGTATAATTTCACACATTTATAAATCACTTCACTTACCCCCTGGGACATTGCCACACACCCCCAGGGGTCCGCATACCCCCAGTTGAGAACCACTGATTTTGGACATCTGTTAATTGCACCATTATTACAGCGCAAGGATATCACGAAGGAAGTGGCTATGTTGCACAGACACGCTCGACATTACTTTCACAGTAGGGGAACGGTATTTATAATCAAATTGAGTAATTTGCCAGGTAGCTTTTTCGAATATGGACCATGCCACCGGCATACAACGGCCTACACTTTTCCGAATGATGTCAGGGGATCCTGAACATCGACTGTGAAGTGGAATGGTGAATGTTTACGGTTAATAGGCCCGCGGCATTAACCAGGGCGGCCTGCCAGAGATTCGATCGGCGATCCTCTGCAACAAGGGGCGAACGCGCTACCACTGGGCCTCGGAATCGTCATGGTGCGGGGTGGTGATTCCACTTAGGAATTGACCCTCCGCTGTCTCATTTCCATTGTTTCTTGTAAATTCTGTCTCATAATATGCATAAACAGCAACAATAGATTACGCGCGCAAATTAAAGCGTCTGCCGAAAGCGAAAGAGAAAATTTGCCGCATCGTTTCACGCAGAACAATTTTGAAGGTGGAAATTTGAGCGATTCTCAGGTTAACTCCAACAAGATGGCAACATTTCAATTGCATGTGAAATTAGCTATGTTGGGCTCTTTTAATGAAAAAAACAGGGCTGCCACGGCTCAGGCATAATTCCTTCAGTATCTCCCATTCAGCTAGCCACTTTATTAACATCAGACTAGTCAGTGCGGTAGGTCTTAGCATCAGACAGCACAGTAATTCCAGCATTCGCTGTTTTGTCCCTCACACTCCTTACATCTTAAAATAACTTTACAGTGGCCTCATGAGAAAGTCACACCCTTTAAGGGGAGTTCATAATAGCATTCTACATCATTAATTTACACGCAAAATGCACATTAATAAAGGTGAACTTTCCGATGCTTGTCACTCTCAGAACGATGCACACTGTCTCAGGTTTTACAATGTACAGTATGCAGCTATCCACCGGACATCTTCTAGTTCGAGTGCGGACATCCAGACAAAAAATGTTGCGCTAGCTGCTGCACATATTCATCACATTGCTGAACGAGATTCAAGTCGAAAATCGTTCAACTATATTTTTGTTATCGTTGGCAAGGCAATTGTCCATGAGTGCGCTTGACCAGCGCCGTCGGCCAAACATCCCAATGTAGGATTACAGAGCTTGGGCGATTGCTGATGCCGGGTTCAGACTGCGTTTTCCCTCTCATCTGTGGCTTCCGGTGCCTCGGTGCGAAGTCTGTGCGCGTTGAGAATTCTACAGCAGCGATTAGGGACGCAAACGGAGTGAATGAATAATGCTGCTTTATTTTTGTTGTTTTATTTTTTACCTACGTGACTTTACCGAATAGAACCAACGAGAATGCTGCTTTATGTTAACCACTACCCGTATAATTTTTGTTTAACTCACCTAGAATTTGATGGCCTTTCATTTAGAACATTAATATGTAAGAATGGGCCATATTGGGAAGATCATTTTATAAATATGTAAATATCAAACCTTTTTCAGAAGTTAACTTGATTGACAAATATCACTTGATATTACCTAGTTGTAGCGCACGTTTGAAGCACAGACGGGGCACCTTTAAAAGCACGTACATTAAACAAGTGACACCTATGTTGCTCTCCGTATTGCTTTCTGAATTTCCCACGTCTGGCTCTTAGGCAAAAAGTACAATACACACGACACCCGGCCCACGGAGCAGGGCCGCTGATCAGCGCGGCCCCACTATGACCACGCGGGGCGTGCAGGGCAAGGGAGGTTGAACGATGTAACCTTTTTGGGTAACGAAAACAATTCTAACTTTATTAATACTGGTCAATGCCCGTATCAGCATTCAAATAAAATATGATGGGAAAATAACTGGCAGCCCATTGGCAACCCACCCACTGAATGAAGGTTTCCACCACGTCATGCTGGTGATGGTGGGGGTGTGACCGTACTTCACGCTGGTTAGCAAGTAATTGGTGGATGGGGCAGCACATTTCAACTGAGTTGTGCAATGGTCTCCGATGTTCTCGGGCTCACACGTAGCCTGACATTGTTGGATCGATGGAACCAAGCGTGAGCCCATTGAGACTTAGGGCCGTAGTCTTATTCACGGCTCGATTCTGGCTCGGCTTTTTAACGTGGCTCAGCTCAGGATTGAAATGGTGAGTTGCTTCCACCGATGCCTAAGTGAGCCAACATGTGGATTTCTGCCGGCTCACGTGAGCCAGAGCCAAGCCGAGCCGTGACGAAGAATACAGGCCTAAGGGAGACCAGTTGTGGTCTTGGCATGATTACGATTTTCCTATCTGACAAAATGCTGAAGAAAACCCTGACATTCCCGTGAAGAACCAAAACGCTATTCAATAACAAGGTTGCGAAACAATTAGTTGACGAGCCTCCAATTGCCATGCGACAAAACATTAACTGTCGATCTCGACTCGCATGAAATACAACCGAGAACGATACAATTAATCTTCTAGTCAAGGTAGAAGCTGTGTTATCAATTACAACTTGCAACGAATTAACAAACATTGCCGAGATACTTTAAGCGTGTTCGGCTGTTTACACCTTAGAAATGCCAAAGCCCATGATGTTCTGCCAACACATGGACACCCTTGCAAACCAGATGCTCCATCTCAAGAGGGGGGGGGGTTCTTAATTAAACATTTTAACGAACAAAAAATAATTTAAAAAAAACAAGCTTCAAATGACCGAGGGGGGTCACTCCGTCCAAATAAAATCGAACTCAACATGAGGGGCACACAGGAGGGCACGTGTACCTCGCTACCAAAATCATAATATCACAATTAAAATGAAAATCGCATGCCCATGCAGAAAATAAACATTGCACAGCATTTCTGTGGCAGGCAGCAACTGCAGCCTGCAGTTGCTGCAGGTTGCTTTGAGGCCTCTGGCCGGTCGGACACCGCGTCCCAGCAAGCAATGCAGAGCGGCACCGGCCACCGACAACAAAACCATCCCAAATTAAACCAAATAATACTTTGCCGGGAGGGAGGATAAAATGTTATGTTCCTTGGAAGAATGAATAAATGTTAATTTTGACAGAGCGATTATTATTATGCAAGGGTCCGACAAACATTCGGCTTGAACTTATTTGGTAGTTAGTTTGCGATTGTTGTTTGTTCGTTTGTTAACCCAATCGCTGGAGGGAAAACACCAAGGCAGAGTTAAGCGAGTCAATGCAAGAAGAAATAAACAAAAACAATCCAAGCATTACAAATGCACAGGTGAGGAACAGTGACCAGGCTGTATGAGGCGGCATTAAAGGTGACTGAGGTGCGGTCAGGGGAAAACAAAGGGGGTTGCAGCAATTTTAGCTCATCATGCAGACACGAAGAGATCAGACTCACGCCCGTAAGTGGTGGCGGCAGTATTGGTGGTGGTGAGAGGAGGAGTGCCTGCAGCTGCGTGTGTTGGGGTAGAAAGGTTTGTTACATCGTGGTGGTGGCTAGCTACCGAAGGCTGCCGCCTGAGAGATCCCTGCAAGGAAGAGCCGCCCTGGAAGGCGTTCACTACCCCCATCTGGAAATGGGGGGAGGAGCGAGAGAGAGAGAGGAGGAAAGAAAGATGCAGAGAAAAAAAGCAATACAAATTTAAAAGGCTCACTTAGTTAGACACAAGCAAAAAAACACACAGAGAAATTAAAAGAGCACAGGCTAGCCCATGCAAGAGGGTGGAAGGACCACCAGTCGTAAACTATGCATAGGCTTCATCTTCTTGGTTCTTTCAGTAAAGTCACGTAGAAGGGAAATAATAAAATAATAAAAATATTAAACAATTAAATACAATTCTCACGATGTTTCGGCCACAACACAGGTAGCCTTCCTCAGGTGAAGAACCAGAACTGTCGGAAAGAGAGCGTCTGTTCATTAAGACGCTGTCTTCTCGACAGTTCTGGTTCTTCACCTGAGGAAGGCTACTTGTGTTGTGGCCGAAACGTCGTGAGAATTGTATTGTTTTATTTTTATTATTTTATTATTTCCCTTCTACGTGACTTTACCGAAAAAACCAAGAAGATGAATCCCTGCAGTCACGAAAGCTTTAAATCGAAATGTGCATAGGCTCTCGCGAGCTGCACTCCAGGGTTTGAGATTCAGCCGTTTGATGTTTCGGGTGCCATCATTTCAACAGTGAAGGTTACCAAGCCAGTACGCCACAATTCCAGCAAGCCACATTTCTGCACGTTTTTACGTGTTTTCACGTTTACATCATGGGACCTCCTTTGCCAGTGCCAAAATATGAGAATAGGTTTTCCCCTTTATTCTGGCAAGCTTTCAAAGCTGTCTCTGTTTGGACCAACCAGTTTCAAAGACAATGCATAAATTTTGATTTGAAGCTTTCGTGACTGCAGGGATTCATATTCTTGGTTCTATCGTTAAAGTCACGTAGAAGGGAAACAATAAAATAATAAAAATATAAAACAATAAAATTATCACGACGTTTCGACTGCAACACAAGCAGTCATCATCAGGTGTGAAAACCACAGCAAGAAAATTTGAAAAAAGTGGCGGTTTTTTAACGTTAGCACCACGGATAGCGATTTGACAGTTTGTTCAGATGGACGAGTCCATCTATGTTCGGAAAGAGGAGGGGGGAGACGAAAATAATGGATGTGGTCTGAAAGCCACCGTAAGCGTGAACAATCAATTAAGACCCGAAATGGTTGATCAAATCCGTCCAATGATTGCTAAGCCAGAATCCATCTTCTCGGTTGAAATTGTCTCTGTGTTTGTATATGTGGATAGCCTCATGAACGAATCTGTCATGGTAGCCAGATGGCTTGCAAAGAACCTCTGTCTTGGAGAAGTCAATGTCATGTGAGCCTACTGAATTATAACAGTGATCTGCCACGGCCGAGGTGTTGGTCCTACCGTGTTTTAGGTCTGCTTTGTGTTCACGAATGCGGTCCGAGACATGTCGTTTGGTTTCTCCAATGTAACTACTACCACAGAGGCAACTTAGTTTGTAGACGCCAGGGTACTGTATGTCCAGAATCACATCTTTTACAGACGGAACCAGATCACGTATTTATGTAATGTGTTGAATCGGACCTGGATCTTGTGTTTCTTCAAGATTTTGAAGATATTTTTTGTGATCCCCGCAATGTAGGGTAAAGTGATGGTTTTGAAAGGCTCCTCAAGAGTGTCCTTCTTCATGGTTGGAGTGATAGCTTTGCAGATTGTGTAGTCGGAATAACCATTAGCCTTAAAGAGCTTGGTGTACGTGCTTGAGTTCACTGGCTATGTGTTCCTGGTCGGATATGCATTGGGCTCTATGGTGCAGAGTCTTGATGAGGGAATTCTTCTGGGATGGATGGTGGTGGGGATCCGGTTTCAGGTAAGCATCCGTATGGGCAGCTTTCCTGCAGACAGAGTGGCTCATTGAACCATCAGGTCTCTTTTTTATTAGGACATCCAAAAAGGTAGCTTGCCATCTTTTTCGACTTCCATGGTAAATCTTATGGCTGGGTGTATGGAATTGATGTGGTCGAAGAATTGGTCTAGAGCAGGCAGGCCATGTGGCCAGATGACAAAAGTGTCATCCACGTACCTCTTCCATAAGGTTGGGCGCAGAGTGGCAGTCTGGATGGCGTCAGTCTCAAATTTCTCCATGAAAATGTTGGCTACAATCACACCTATTATTGACGGCAACAATATCTACAACGGATTGAGAACATGTAGACAATATGACTGCCTCTTCAGCTGCCACTATGTCGACGAAATGTAAGGATAACCTGATTTCAAAATTTAACCTCCTCTCAAACAAAAGACCGGACTCACACACCAAAAAGCTAGACGTTAACAAAGTCGTAATTAATCGCAGCAACAGTTCTATTTCCGATGGTCTGAAATCCGTTTTAGCTAAAGGGCTAAACTTTGCAGTCACACCTAAACACATACCAGTTAATGATATCATTGCCCAAGTAGACATGGCTCTCAAGGGCCTGGGTCACATCGCTGCAGACATAGCAAGATCTGACATCGCTGCAACCCTTAAAAACGCTAAGATGCCAGCTAGCAACCTCAGCAAAGATGAGCGTTTTGAATTATATAAACTAAAAAAGAGGCATGACATTGTCATCTTCTCAGCCGACAAGGGCAATGCCACTGTCATCATGGATAAAATAGAATATAACAACAAAATTCAAGAATTACTCAACGATGGCAGCTATACAAAAATAAAAAGAGATCCCACCAACAGCCTCGTCATGAAAACCAAAATCATTTCTGATTCAACCGCATTAATTGATCAAAACCAAACAGTTCTCGTTGAAACCTTCTGCTGCTAGGCCTGCAAGATTATACGGCTTACCAAAAATACATAAAGTAGATGCACCCCTTCGTCCCATCGTCTTTACTATCAACTCCCCCACCTACAAACTGGCTCGTTTTGTCTGAAATCCTGCGGCCTTTCACTGGAAAAAAACACCTCTGCGGTACAAAATTCTACTCACCTGGTATCGACAATCAAGGGTATTTCCCTGTCCCCAGACGACCTGCTTGTCAGTTTTGATGTAGTTTCCTTATTCACCAAAGTTCCTGTACCTGACACCATCACAATCATTGAAGACTTGGTTCATCAAGGACTAAACACTGAGTTACCCCTCCTGGTAAGACACTGCTTAACCAATATATACTTCACTTGGAATGGAACTTTCTTCAAACAAACTGAGAGCACCCAATGGGCTCCTCCCTATCTCCGGTTATAGCTAACATTTTCATGGAGAAATTTGAGACTGACGCCATCCAGACTGCCACTCTGCGCCCAACCTTATGGAAGAGGTACGTGGATGACACTTTGTCATCTGGCCACATGGCCGGCCTGCTCTAGACCAATTCTTCGACCACATCAATCCATACACCCAGCCATCAGATTTACCATGGAAGTCGAAAAAGATGGCAAGCTACCTTTTTTGGATGTCCTAATAAAAAAGAGACTTGATGGTTCAATGAGCCACTCTGTCTACAGGAAAGCTACCCATACGGATGCTTACCTGAAACCGGATTCCCACCACCATCCATCCCAGAAGAATTCCATCATCAAGACTCTGCACCATAGAGCCCAATGCATATCCGACCACGAACACATAGCCAGTGAACTTAACCACGTACACCAAGCTCTTAAGGCTAATGGTTATTCCGACTACACAATCTGCAAAGCTATCACTCCAACCATGAAGAAGGACACTCTTGAGGAGCCTTTCAAAACCATCAATTTACCCTACATTGTGGGGATCACAAAAAAGATCTCCAAAATCTTGAATAAACACAAGATCCAGGTCCGATTCAACACATTACATAAAATCCGTGATCTGGTTCCGTCTGTAAAAGATGTGATTCCGGACATACAGTACCCTGGCGTCTACAAACTAAGTTGCCTCTGTGGTAGTAGTTACATTGGAGAAACCAAACGACATGACTCGGACCGCATTCGTGAACACAAAGCAGACCTGAAACACGGTAGGACCAAAACCTCGGCCGTGGCAGATCACTGTTATAATTCAGTAGGCTCACATGACATTGACTTCTCCAAGACAGAGGTTCTTTGCAAGCCATCTGGCTACCATGACAGATTCGTTCATGAGGCTATCCACATATACAAACACAGAGACAATTTCAACCGAGAAGATGGATTCTGGCTTAGCAATCATTGGAAGGATGTGATAAACCATTTCGGGTCTTAATTGATTGATCATGCTTAAGGTGACTTTCAGACCGCATCCATTATTTTTCTTCTCCCCCCTCCTCTTTTCCGAACATAGATGGACTCGTCCATCTGAACAAATTGTCAAATCGCTATCCGTGGTGCGAACGTTAAAAAAACGCCACTTTTTTCAAATTTTCTTGCTGTGGTTTTCACACCTGATGATGACTGCTTGTGTTGCAGTCGAAACGTCGCGAGAATTTTATTATTTTATATTTTTATTATTTTATTGTTTCCCTTCTACGTGACTTTACCGAAAGTATTGTGGTTAATGCAGACATGATTCCTTGTAAAAGGTTTCAGTTTGGTATTTTAAAATCTTAACACCTGTTTTATTTGCCAGAAAAAAGGGGAAAACCTATTATCATGTTTTCACATTATATATAATTATATACAGGGGCGGAGCCAGGGGGGGGTGACAGGGGTGACATTCTGCATGTAAGTGTACGACACTCGGTCTGGCGGACTCCGTGCAACTGCATTGTCAGAGTGTGTCGCCAACCGATGGCGTCTAGCTCAACAGCCTGACTCTCTAATCATTCTTGAAATTAAAATTTGTTGAATGTCACCCCGGCCTGAAATCCTGGCTCCGCCCCTGATTATATATAAAATATAATTGTAATAATTGTCACTTTTTTAAGGTAAATTTACATGCGAACATTACAACTTTTCTGACGAAATTAGCCTTCATGTGTTTGCCTCATAACATGCTGGTGGCACCTGTACAGTAATATTAAAACACAAGTGTCAAATGTTAAACATTTCCTGTCACAGTGACTTGAAACTGAAATGTGACTGATGCGTTTTACAAATATTGT